AAAAAAAAAAAAAAAAAAAAAAAAAAAAAAAAAAAAAAAAACACCTCTAAGCTCAAGCACACCCCTTTGAGATGAAAACCCCTTTCAAGTTTCAACCCCTATGGCTGAGGATCACTTCAGATTTCGCGTTTCCAGATCATCCCTGAGCGTTTCGCTGGCTGGTCGGGCTGGGAAAGGCTGATGCCCAGTGCCTACCCGTCAGGATGCCGAGGTTTCGAGAATGAGCCACCGCCGCCGTACCGAAAAAGGTATTCTGTTCAGGCTTTCGGCCACCTGAACCACGTAAGGGCACCATGTCCTCACATTGACACGAGCCCAAAAACGTTGTATTCATTCTCCTAAGAGAACACTAAGTTTCCAGAAATGTGAAGCTTTCAAAGCAAAAAAGACGAGATTTACTGGGCTACACCAGTTCATATCATTTGAGAGTAAGCGCCAAGAACCTCGACAAAGAAGCGACTACCGAATCATGAAGAGTGTACGTCCAGCCAAAGGTCCACAGGTGCAAAGGAAAAGAGGTGATCCCATGAGTGTACGTCAAGTAATCTTCATTAATCTTCATTTCTATCATGAAGGCTCATCAGCTATATACCAACCACATGTTTGAAGAGTGTACGTCGAGCCAAAGGTGCAAGGGAAAAGAGGGAGTCCCAGGCAAAAAGCTGCCATCTTACCTTGGGATTTGAAATGGAAAGCAAAGCAAGCGCAAGCGGCACAGCCCTGCGAATATTCGGCTCCCCATACTGCAACAGATGTTCTAAGGACCTAATGGCCATGCTCTGACCAAGCTCTTCGGCCATAGCCACCATTGCAATGCCCAGCACTGCAGGTGCTTGGTGATAATCATTCTTCCCCTCAAGGTGGTCTCCGCACAGCCCCAGCAAACGTTGTACCTGCTCTTTCCCACGCACACGTACAATCAAAACCCCACATCCACACATTAACACATAAACGCAAGGCCACAGGTCAAACGCAACTCACGTGATTGATGCTGCAACATCATGTAGCAATTCACGGAAACACTCTGACCGCGTCCAGCAAATTGGCAAACAGAGAAGCTCAGACGAATCGCAAAAACCCATGACACGCAGTCCACACCACACGCACACAAGCTCATTGGTGCTGGGACATGTGGTACCCTTTATTAGAGTCATGATATGCAAGCTACTGCAGGCAATCAGGATTACACAGCAGACGGCAAACGTGACACCAAAACGAAATGCAATGATGCATCATCGCAAGCAGTTCAGGCACGCCAGATGATATTTACCCACATGTGGTTAACCATCTCTCTAGTTACCCACATGTGGTTATGCCATGCTTATAACGGGAACATACAGACGTACCAACCACACCCAAATATGGCCCAAAATCCGGTGACCACAACTGATGGAAGTTGGGAAGCCAAACAAAATCACAACAATACATTACAAGCACTACGGCTTAGGTTATTTCAACCTTTAGCAGATGGTTTTACCTTTTCAACATTTCCGGTTCCGGCATATGCGCATGTCTCCAAGACCACCTGACAAAACTGGGAGATCCTTTCATGCAGGGTCTTGGCAACTTCTATGGTTGCATCCACTGCATCCTGCACAAGGACAGTTTCATTCAAACAAAGAATCAGCTGCTAGCAATAACATTCATCACAGTTGTACCCAATAATAACACTTCCCTCCAATAGGTGCAAGATTTTGTCTGACTCATCTACCTCAAAACTGCCAACTGTAAAGGAATTCAGAAGCTGTGATGGTGGAAGGACTTAGTTTTGCCAGGAAGCGTGACGCATCACCTATGGCTTGTACTGAAACCAACCTGGCTCAGTACTGCACTCTGCTGCTCTGCAGACGTGTCGACCAACGGCAAATATGAATGGCTGTAAGATGGGCGGTTCATCTTCGAACTACCATCTTCCCCCAAATAGAACGTACGGTCATTATAGCTGTAATTCGGGTCACTGTCAGTCCAAAGAGAGCGATACCAACCATATGTTCTATTTAGAGGAAGGCGGCAGTTTTACACCTGTGCATGTCTTCCAATTCATTCAGAGCGTGCATTGCCTTTTCAGCAGATCTTCTCTACAGTCAGGACCCAGTCCCAATAATACTCAGTGGAGCCATGTGCTGGTGGCTCGAGGGGAGTGTCATCATTCCAGTGCAAACAGTCACATGTGACGTGGAAGTGAGACAAGGGGAGATGCGCAAGAACCAAGACGATAAAGACATAAGATGCAAAGAGACAGGTTACGCGCACCCGTGCTGAGATCGAACACCTTTGTCTATACCTTGAAAGCATGTAATACCAACCAGTGCCAGCATCGATTCTCGGAAACAAACCAGGCTTCAGTTTCTAATTAAACCACCACTCAGTAGCCTTTTCGGACACTTCATGCGCATGTGGAATCGTTTCACAAGGCTCATCAAAGGGCCACCTCCTTACCTGCCACTACACAGCCTCATCCTTTCTTGATGTGAAGAAGTGTGTAGCCCAACAAAGTTCTTTATCTCATACTTGCGGCGCAGGCCGTGCGCGCGAATCACACACAGGTGGTGCATTGCACAATGTGCATGCGATGCGTGCACAGCATGTGCCGCACGGCCAA